AAAGGACTTTTTATTATCTTTGATCTTGGATGCTAGTCCTAGCTCTATGTCCACCTTAGCTTTCTTAACAGCCCCCCTACAGGCCTGAGCATTGGAAGTATACTCTTCTTTGGAGATATCCCCCCCCTTCCACCAGGTGTACACCGCCTTTTTGGCAACCAGGCATTCCCGGACTTCCTTGGTGAACCAGGGAGGCTTTTGGGCACTCTTGCCCCCCTTGCTTCTTGTTGGGATTGTCACCCCTTGGGCCCCGAGTATCGTCTCCTTAAGGAACGACCACTCATCTTGAGCACTGATTTCCCCTGCCCTCGAGAAGCCCAGTGCCTCTCCCACCAATCTCAACTCGTTAAAGTTGGCCCTCTTGAAGTCTAGGGCTACAGCCTTGCTGCAGGCCCTTGACACCCTGCGCTGGATGATGAATTCCAGCAAGTGATGATTGCTATCACCCAGGTGGTCAAGGACCTGGAGCCCCCTTACCAGATCATCGCCTGTGGCCAGGACCAGGTCCAACAGGGCATTTCCTCTGGTGAGACTGCGCACCTCCTGTGTTAAGTGGAGGTCCTGTATCTTGGCCAGGAACCTCCTGGAACAGTCCAACCTGGCTGACTGCTTCTCCCAGCCTATGTCCAGGTAATTTAGATCACCCATGACAACTACATCCCTTGCCTTAAGTGCCTCTGCAAGCTGGCCCGAAAATTCCCGGTCCAGCTCCTCCCCTTGGTTGGGGGGTCTGTAGGGAAGCTCCCCACTTCCCTCAGAATCAGCCCAGACCATGGCAAAGCCGAGTCAAGGACATCCCAGAAGGCCCAGTAGAACTCTGTGGTCAGCCCATTGATGCCCGATGCCCCTCGCTTAGCTGGGGGTGGTGGGGAGCTGTCCCACCAGTGGGGCAGCTAGCAGTGACCCTTGGCTGGGTGAAGAATTGCATTGAGGCAGTGGGCTGGCACCTGCCCCTCCCCTGCAGCACTTTTTAAGCCCTGTGCCTTGATTGCCCAATCTGGGCATGGGGCTGGGAAAGAACTGTGGGGCTGGGACCTGATCCAGGCTAGAACAGTTCTTGGCCAACTCCAGGCTGTGTGGGAAAGTCTGTATGCGCAGCCTGGAGCTGACTGGAACATGGCTCAGACCGGGACAGTTCCTGGCCAGCTCTGGGCTGCATGTGCAGAGTTCCCCACGATGCCCACAGCTGGCTGGGAACTGTGCCAGTCTGGGCCAGGGCCCAGCCAGCTCCAGATTGGGCAGGGAACTGTCCCTGTGCAGAGAGCTCCTGGCTCTGTGATTGGAGGAGGGGTTGGGAGATTCCTTTGTGTCCCCCAGAGCTGTCTGCTGCCAGGGTGGGCTCCAAGCTCAGACCCTGGCCTGCACAATGCCCCCCTGCCCCGGCAGCAGGCATCTCCTGCCCTGGCTCTGTGATTGGAGGTGGGTCTGGGACACTGCTCCCTGCCCCTGGGAGCTGCCTGCTGCCAGGGCAGGGGGACATTGAGCTAGCCGAGCTCTGAGCTCAGAGCCCAGCTAAGAAGCATGGAGCTCCTGGGGGTAGGGAACAATCTCCCATCCGTTGCTGCCCAGCTGACTGAAAGCAAATTTGCTGCCAGTTGGCTGTCTACACATGCATTACTGCACAGTAATTACTTCGTACTGTATACAGGTCCAATGTACCCAAACCTAACTTCCCTGGCCTCTTATATTAAAAACTAGTGAATTGCCCATCAAGAATGACAGGGAGTGCCACCACCTACCACCCTGAGCCACCGCCACCTCCCAGGAGCAGGGTTTGGCAGGGGGGAGGAAGCTTGCCCTGCCGTTCCCTCCATCTCCCTCCACCCCCCTCGGCCAGCACCCCGTGCTGCCGCTGCCTCCAGCACCGCTGGCCTTCCCCCCTGCTCTATCTCCTCCATCACCGCCATCATGGTGGCACTCCGCACTCTGATTGGTTGTTTCACTAACCAATCAGAGTGCTCCACGAGCATTATGGACAGACAGACAGACTAAGCCCTTTATTATATAAGAATGTTAAAAGCAGTTAAAACATGTTACCACTGTGAAAACAAAAACTACCCATGCAGTGTGGACATGTAAGTATCCATACAGCCTCTGGGCATGAGAGCAGGCTATGCATAGGCCAGGCAAGTTACATGGCTACATATATGTGTACACTGGACATTGCCATTGGCAATCTTTTGATTCAAAGATGATTTCTATCATGGCTCATTGATGGGTCTTGAAGTGACTTAGGAGTCCAAGATCTGTCCACACAAGTTTCTGTTCTTTCTGCAGGGGAGAGTAGGCCATAGATCGTGATTTATCTCCTTTTCCTTCCTCCAATCTATCTTCTTTGCTTCAAGGGCAAGATGATTTACCTCAAAGCAGACTGCTGCTTAGTTGAGGTTGTGGCACCATTGGAGCTGGTTAGCAGCCAGCTCCACCCAGCTTTTGATATCAGCATCTACTTTCTTGAGGTATGCCTTCAGTGTGTCCTTGTAGCATTTTCTCTGGCTGCCATGAGATCTCAGGCCACAACAAAACTAGGAATAGAGCACTTGTTTTGCAGTTGAGAGGTGGGCATCTACACACAATGTCTCATCCAGCAAACTTGAAGCTTTAGGATCATACTGACTCAGTACTGGTAACACTGGCTTCAGCAAGCATGCTGCTGTTTGTGCAGTGATTTTCCCACTTGATGAGCTGATTTTTCTGGAGGCACCATTGGTGGTACCTCTCCAGGCTCTTAAGATGTCAATGGTAGGCCACCCACATTCAGGGAGAGTGCGGATGATGACTGCATTGTAGACCTAGATCTTGGTGTCTTTCTTGAGACTACAATCAATAAAAATATGGCAAAACAATTTCCTAAAGGATATGATTACACACCAGATCTGGGGCCGGATGTCCTCATCAATCCTCTAATGGAGGTTCCTACCAAGGTAAGGGAAGTGATCAACTACCTTCAAAGTTTTCCCCCCAGTGGTAATTTGAGGAGTGGGAGGGAGTCACATTCATGGCCTGGAGCAGGATGATTGAGCAATTGAGTATTCTTGAGGTTGAGAGAGAGGCCCAAAGTTCAGTAGGTTTCTGCAAAGATATCCAGCACAGTCTGGAGGTTTTTCTCGGTGTGTACAAGGATGCTATAGTCATCAGTTTACTGAAGGTCAAGGATGGCTGTTTTGAATACTTTGGTCTTTGAGCAAAAACATCCCAGATTGAAAAGCATATGTGTGTACTGAACATGCAAGAGATACAAAACTATAGTCAGACAAAAACGTTAAATACCAGAGGATAAGGGCCCTTTTATGTTTTAACTCCAAAAGCTGAATAGTTTACCCAAAATGCAGAAGACCTGGTTTCCAGGCTTCCTCATCCACAGACAACTTGACACTGTGCTTCTCCAGCTTCCCAACACATTCCTCTAACAAGCAAGCCACCGGTTAGGCATTAGCCAGTGCATTCTCTAGTCTTTCTTTTGAAGTTGGCAGCTAAGAAGGCAGCTATAGTAAAAAAAAATAAGCCTGAGAGTGTGTGACACAGTGAAGCAGATGCTACTTTGGAAGGTTTGGGTTCTGTCCTGGACCCTTGCTGCCATGAGGCAGAAACTTCTTTGCTATTCTGTCCATTTTATCCAATGACTATTAAATGCAAGGTCTAGTAGGTCAGCATCCACACATTCACTGGAAAAAAACTCAGTGGCCTGGGCTTAAAACCAAATGATGAGACATTAGAGAGGTGCAGGTTCAAAACTTGTCTGGGTGAAGGAGCATCCTGGTACTCTGTTTCTGGGTATGCATTTTAACCACTCAGCTATTGGAGATAAAAAATGGAGGGCCCTCTTGTTCACTTCTTCTGGAACACCTGATGTACATGCTACATAGCTGCCACATCAGTTTACAACCTACTAAGCAAACCTAGATGTGGTATGGACACTCACGCATCCACACTACACGTGTTATAAAATCAGAAACTGTGCATATGCACCAAACAGCCACTTACACAGCTGGGGAAATGCCATTTAAATGCACAGCGAGTAACAGAAGTGTGTCCCTAGTGACTTAAACCTGGGTCTCTCAGAGTCCTAACCACTGGGCTGTACAGTGGGTATCCATTTCTCTCTCCAAGCCAAGGAATATTTGTTTATGAAAAATCATCAGTGTAACTAAGGGGTGGAGCAGAGGTAGGGCGGAGCAAGGGTAACCAGGCAGCAGCCCCTGGTGCAGTCTTTGGTAGGGAGTGCAAAAATAACTACAGCAGTGGTGGCTGGCCACACCTCCACCACCTGCAGCATAGCAGCCAATACTGCCCAATGCATTGCCACTGCTCAGGTTGTGGAGCTGCCCTATTGTGTCTTTAGCCAGCATGGATCATCTCCAACAGGTAAGCTTGCAAGAGAGCCAATGGGTTGGTGGAATGGGCTAGGAGATATGTAGGGGACTGTTACTCAAATTACTAGTCTGCTGTTGAATTTCAGTCTTCAACAGCTCTTGTGACTGCCCTAATTCCTGGAACATTGAACACCTCTTGATTTGTCCAGGAATTTCATGAAGTTCTATTGACTATGGTATGTTTTCATGAAAAGAGTCAGTTCTGGTGAATCATCACTTTCAAGGACAGAGACCCCCCTACAAAAGAAAAGGCCTTGTAGCTTAGTTGGCTAAAGCACCTGTCTAGTAAACAGGGGATCCTAGGTTCAAATCCCAGCAGGGCCTCCTTTTTGGTGGGGTGGTTATCCTTGCTGAGGTGCTGGTGCCCCTTTCAAGTTGAAGTATGGATGGGATACTGTGCTTACCCATGATTTAGCTAGTAGTGGGTGTTGTTCTTGGCAAGGCACTGATGATGCCTTTTTAAGATCTGATCCCAGGAGCCTTTCCTCTGATTCCAGCAGTCTTTCCTGCCTAAGTGCAGGGGGGCTGGACCCGATGATCTGTAAGGTCCCTTCCAGCCCCTAACAACTATGAAACTATGAAAACCAAATTGTTAGAAACTTCCTAGCCAGCCATACATCCCATTTGGAGCAGGTCTTACAGGGAATCTCATCTTCCAAGCCACCCTGAAACGAGCTGTATTCCAGCTGTCTCACTACTTCTAGAGCCTGATTTGAAGACTAGTGCATTTACACTGACTTCCTTGGGGGCTGAATCTGGGCTACTGTGAGTCTATTTGGGTCAGGTAAGCCAGTAGAAAGGAAGAGAGAAATGGGGCAATTACACTGCTCCTGTCAGAGCAGTAGAAAAGACTCCTTGGTAAGAGAACAAAGACCAGGAAATAACTGCAGAAACTGCCAGTGACTATAATGGAGCCAGAAGTGATGCATGTATTTTTCTGAGGTAACAGGAATGGCTGTGCTCATTGAATGAGCAGCTAATGAAATGCATTACAAGCAGGAAACAGCACTGATGAAGATTACTAGTCTCTTTAGACCTGGGAAAATAAGAGAAAAAAAAGCTTGATTTGCTTCTGTCTTGTATTTGATTTACATGAACCAAAGACTGTGATTTAGTGAACCTCTCTCTAGCTCTTCCAAAACCTCTTTCTCAAGATTTCATTTCCCTACCCCTCTGCCTTTAATTTTGGAGGAGACTGGGTCTTTCATTTCCATCTAGTGTTATCAGGAACAGGTCATTCTCTGCCTCTGAGGCTGCTTTCTCTGAATTACTTGTAGCCTGTTCCTTTATTTCTTTTATTATTAATAATAATCATGCAAAGTACACTGCTGCCTGTAGACCAGCCAGGAACAACACCCCACTGTGCTAGGCACTGTGCAGATGAAGAGCAGCAGCTCAGAAGAGCTTATGCTCTAATTAGAACAAGAGGGAGGAAGGAATTCATGCCTTGTAAACATGTTGGTGGCCAGAAGACTGTTTCTCCCTCCTGTTTATAGCCAGTAGGTTTCTTACTTGGGCTGCTTGCTGGGATACAGTGATATCCTTATTATGCATTTCTGTGTGTTCCTTTTGTTGGTAAGCTTCATGCCTATGTGACTTTAGGGTAGGCTCATCTCTATGAAATGACAGGACTGAAATAAGGAGTTTCCCTATCTCAGAGAGGTTTTGTGAGTACAGTAAAAGCTCTGTTATCTGGCATGAGTGGAGAACAGGGGGTGCCAGTTACCAGGGCTATGCAAAGCTTCGGTCCCTGATTCGATTCAGCAGAGATTCAGCTGCATTCAGTGGCCAAATCTCCGAATCTGAATCAAATCTTTAATCTCTATGAATCGAATCGGAACCCTCCAAATCAATTTGGAAAGATTCGGAAACATTTGGCTATTTGGACCTAGACACAGCTTTAATATTTTTTTCTACCTCTAGGTAGCAGGTGGCTCATGAATGCTGAGATGCTGGGGCACATGGAGTGTCCCACAGAAGCATGGGGGCTCCCCAGTGCGCTCGGCAGCAGACCTGGAAGTAGACCAGAAGCACTTCCAGTCTACTTCTGGGTCCGCTGGGGAGTGTGCTGGGGGGGGGTCCCCTGTGCCCCCGGCTCTGTGACTGGTGCCTCCTGGGTCTGGGGAGGTACCCAGGGTCCCCCTGTAGCCGATTGCTCAGTTGGGGGGACACAGGGGGTATTCCCTTGCGTGCTCCCTGGCAGACCCAGAAGTGGACCAGAAGTACTTTTGGTCCACTTCTGGGTTTGCTGCCGAGCATCCCCCCGTGCTCCTGTGGGACACTCCATCCACCCCACCATCGTATCATTCATGAGCCACACCTGCTACCTCAAGGTATGTAGAAAAAAAATTTAAAGCTGTGTCTATGGCCAAATTGCTGATTCTCCGAATCAGCATTGAATCTTCAAATTCGGATTTGGACAAATCAAATTGGGGACAGTGATCCAAATCAATGAATCGAATCACTGTCCCCAGTTCAGCCTGAATCTGAATCCGAATCGAATACGGCCGGCCCATTTCACGCACTCCTATCGGTTACCTAACAATTCTGATTATCTGAGGCAGGGATTTTCAATCTTTTTTTAAAGAGGGTGTCGGGAGCTACACAGGGGGCAGGGTGGCATTGGCCGCACATGGAGCAGTGGCAGCACAGGGTGGTGGGTGGTAGCAGCGGCCGCTGTGTGCAAGCTTTCCTCCCCCACCCCCCAGCATCTGGCTGGAAATTCCGGTTAATATAGTGGTCCGGATAGCAGAATGCAGGTTAACGCAGGCTTTACTGTATTAGGTAAATACACTCAAGTTGGTGTGATGGCTAGGCAGTCTTCTAGTCAGAGTCATGCAACTACAACAGAGGCAGGCATCAGTGGTGCAATAACATTAAATTTTCCTCCAGGCTATGACTGAATATGTTGTGCCTTTATGGGTCCTGAAATTATACAAAGAAATGAGATGACTAAGTGAACGCCATTTCCCCAGAAGGTTCACTAGGGCAGCAGTTTCTGGCAGCCGGTTTATCTAGGTCTGATGCTTATAAGGATCTAATTTTCATGTGTGTTGGGACAGGGTTGGATTTCCTAGGAAAGTCTGGCTGTGATGCTGAGCCTGGTTTTCAATGTGGCATCTGATTCTTACCTAATTTTCCTAGCTAGGTATTCCCATCAAAATTGTTCTGGGGGCCAGTGGCTTATTTGGTATTTACCCAATAACAATCCAGTATTACTATTTTATTCATTCTAATTGCTGAGAAAACATTATTTTTCCTAGTAGGAGAGCCCTGATTGCTGGTCTCCATCTAGCATCTCATTAGTCATGAACCCAAAAAACCGAATGTCTGTTGAAATCACTTCTCACACTGTGATTTATCTGTACAGTGAGAAAGCAGCAAAGACACCATTATGTCAGCACTGAGACACCCTTCCTACCTCACCTTTCTTGCCTTATGGAGGTGAGGAAGGTACCACCTCCTTGGTAGTATTTGAACTGTTCCTGCATGTAAAGCTTGGCATCCACACAATCACACAAATGTCTACAAAGACAGCTACGCAGACACAAGTGGAAGTGGAAAGAGAAAAGACTCAATTAATTATTGGTGTCTCTCATGCCCTGCAAGGAGGACATGGCTCATAGCTTTATAATGTAGTCCTCATGTTCTTTCAGAGTAGCTCTGTGCCTTTTCCAGGTAAGGTATTACAAAAATATGTGTGTGTACAAACTTGTTTAGATAGATTATTCCCTACCTCACCTTTTCCCACTCCTGCAGGGCAGGAGATATAATTCATCCTTGACAGCCAATTCACATTCCAAACCCCAGTGTGTTGTTCAGTTTTTGCTGAAGGTGGGAAAAGTGCCGTTACAGGATGAACATTGGCAGGGATCCACTCACTGCAATATCTCAAATCAGCTGCAAACCCTTAATAATTATTGGTAGATCAAGAGCAGGCATGACTGCTATCCTGACAATAAGATATACTAACACCAAGTCCTGAATTGCAAAGCAAAGCTCATAGATAGAACAGTATATTCCTAGGGTTACTTGCTTTTAGACCATGAAAACTAAAGACGACCAAACCAATATAGCCACCTCCTTTTTCTTATCTTTGATGATTAATACAGCTCTGAACCTACCATGTCTCTAGAAAAAGCAGTTCTATCTTCTAATCAAAATAACTGCTTAGTAGGTCTCTGCGAGTAGGCAGCTATTCGATTCGGCTTTGGATCCAGCCACTTCAGATGCCAGCAATCCAGTCCAGAATTCCGGATTGGTTTCCTACTTCGATTTGGCTGAAGTGGCTCTGAAGCTTTGGAGCCACTTCGGAGATCCAGCCATAGGCTTTAATGGGGAATCAATGAAATATCTATAACATTGTTGTTTTTTGTCTGATTTGGATGAAACTTGCAGGGGTGGTAGCCTCTGCTGTGGGCATAAAGTCTGCCAAGTTTCAAGAAGATCAGTACAGGGAGTCAGGGGGAACTGCATCCCAAATTCTTGAAAGCAAAACTCATGTCACATGTATGTGTTACACCACAGAGGGGTGACAATTGCCGGGGTGGTAGCCTCTGGTGAGGCCACAAAGCCTGCCAAGTTTCAAGGAGATAAGTGTAGGGGTTTGGGGGGAACTGCACCTCAAGAGGTGGACAAGCAAAACTCATGACATGGGTGACACTGCACGTGTTAAGGTGCAGCAGGGTGAAAGCTGCAGGGATGGTAGCCCCTGCTGAGGCCACGAAGCCTGACACCTGTCAGGGAGATAGGTGCAGGGGGGGTCTGGCTTCTGGGGCCCTGCACCTCTGGCTGCTAACAGGCAAAAAAAAAAAAAGTCCTTTTGAAAAAGTCCTTTTTCAAATATATAGGGAGGATGAAGAAGGCACTGGGAAATGTGTGGCCCCTGCAAGATACACTGGGCAATCTGGTGGTTGCGCCAGAGGAGAAAGCAGACCTCTTTAACAAATTCTTCCCCTCCGTTTTCTTGTGCAGGGACCGGGACTCCCCCACCGTGATTCAAGACCGACTCGAGGGGAACGCCTCCAGACCTAAGGTTGAGGAGGACCAGGTTAGAGCGCTTCTGGAGGGGCTGGACGTGTTTAAATCAGCAGGTCCAGATGCTCTCCACCCCAAGGTGTTGAGGGAGCTAGCAGGGGTTATTGCAGGGCCCTTGGCATGGCTTTGTGCGCACTCGTGGTACCTAAGCCAGGTTCCAGATGATTGGAAGATAGCCAATGTGGTCCCCATCTTTGAAAAGGGGAGGAGGGAGGACCCGGGCAACTATAGGCCCGTCCGTTTTACCTCAATCCTGGGGAAACTCTTTAAGAAGATTATCAAGGAGC